GATATGAATGTCTCTGTGAGGCACAAGAAGTAGAAAGCCAAAGCTAAGAAAGGTGCATTAATATCTTCGAGACATGTCTCTGTGGTCTCCAGTGTGATAAAGCAGGCGGGCAGTGAGTTGAAACCGTTGCCTGGCATGCAGCAGGTTTCTGCTTTAGTGTTTTGTTCTACCACTTTCCACCCTTGTCTGCACAGTCTTATGTAGCACCTTACCGTTAAAGTCAGACTAAAGAGAGAACGTTTTATCCTGCTCATACAGGCCTGCCCCAGTGAGGACCTCAGCCTAGGGTTACCCTTACAAACACCTGAAGGCATTTTGCCCTCTTAGTGAAATAAATGGAAGTTGGGTGCCTATGGATCACAACTTAAACTTCTCGGACTGCATGTTCAGATCCATGCTTCAGTGCCCTGGTCTCATGAGCTTCCACCTCCAGGCTCCCTTACCTGGGAAACTGGCTGGAGCACAGGAGCTCCCTTCTGGCCAGCACAGCAGGAAGCTCCACCATTGGACCAGAGCATGCTCCTGGCTTGCATGAACTAATGCTAGCCTTTGGATTGAATAAGAAAACAATAAGAAGTAGTTATGAAACAAGACATTCATGCGCAAAGCTCAAGCACATGCACCTTGCAATCTGTGCTTGCCAGCAAATCCATCCTCTTCACTGCATTTATTCCTGCATGGAGCAAGAGGCTCACTTAATTCTTCTGAATTTCAGTTGTGCAGCCTATGATGGAAGTGACATTGGCAGGATCAGACAGACCAGGTGCTTTCCAGTGGCTCTTCTGTGTGTCCGAGAACAGTACAGCCACACCCCTGAGGGACTTCAATCTGGATGGGTAAGAAGTGTTTACAGAGGCAGGAGCCTGGAGCTCCTGTGTGAGAGGCCACAGCATTACTCTGCTGAGCCTGATGAGAAGAGACCCCACCTAGGCCAAGGACAGCAACATAAATGTGATAAGGAGAGACAGACAAGTAGCCTCCAGGTGTTTCTAGGTATACAACATGCTGAGGAGCTCTGCTGGGCTGCTCACGTCTTCTAAGCAAGATGAACACGTGATGCAAAGGCTTCCGTGGGGTGAGAAAGCAGAAAATAAACAATGAAAATGTCTATCAAATCCATAACTGTCTGCTGTCAGGAGCATGAACAGCCATCCTGAATTTTCATGGCATGTCACATCACCCTGCCTGAATTCCAACAGGAAATCAAGTCAGCAAAGAGGAATGAAAACATCAGGTGTGCTGCATGGGGGAGTTTCAATGCCCCCCCTGCTAGAGATGGAGGTGAGAAAGTGTAATGGGTGCTGTGTGTCTTTATCCTTTAAAAGGCCCTCTCTCGTACCTGCTGTTGCTGCTACCTATGAGCCTGTCCCATTGCCCTGGTGAAACTTTTCTCCTTGCCTTCTGAGTGCATTTTGATTTAGGTTCTTGGCAGAGCAGTGTTGTTCTTAGGAGATGGGGAGGCTGTGCAGAGACAAAAGAGGCAATGGGTGTTCAGGGAGAGGGGATGGTGGTCAAAGAGCTGAAAAGCTCCTCAGCCCCCTGAGAGGAGGGCTCTGACCTCCCAGGGCTGAGGACTGCTGGAAGCTGTAACAGCTGTGTCCTTTCTCCCTCTTTCTGTGTTACCAGCTTGAGAAAATAGCCAGGATTGTTTGTCTTATGAGTGTCCTTCGTCTGGGTGTGCAGGGGGAGCTGTATCAGTGGAACAGAGATGCTGCCCCTGAGATAACACTCTTTACCTGCAACGGGGCTGGTGCCCTCGGGGTTCTACAGTACCACATGGCAGCCAGAAGCTGAGCCTGGGGTGGCTATGGCGTGACGAGGGTGGCCTCTCTTCTCTGTTACACCAGACATGCAAAATCTATTCCCCTTCCAGATCTCAGGGGTATCTATCTAGGCTTTTTCTGGGCTTCAGAGGGTTTGCTCAGTTCTGGGCACACAGGTACCAGAAAGAGACGGCCAGAGAGGCTGCTTCTGATGAAGCAGAAGAGAGCGTGAAGTTCTGGAGTTACCAATGAGCATGGAGCTCAAGCTGGGTGTAGCAAACAGGTCCAGGATGGGGGAAGCCTCCCCTCCTCAGGAAAAGCAGAATTTGTGACTTGCAAGCTTATTTAAAGGTTGTGGGGCTGGAACATGATTGCAGCAACCATGGTCCTGAGACGAGAGGAGAATTTAGGACTTCCTCCCTTTGCTGCTCCTTTGGGGCATGTGCCCCACACAGGGTAGGACTGGCAGTGGGAGCACTGGGCAGGGCAGAGCATGGCTGTTTTGGTGACTTGCCTCTGCCTTTATGAACGCAGCGATGGAGCTGCCAGGAAAGCAGAGGCTATGTTCACAGTGGCTTGGTGGTGACCTGGGAAGTGGCAGCAGCTCATGTGAAACAACACATCTGAGGAGAGGGATTTGGTTTTCAGCTCCGAAGTAGGCACAGAAAGTTGCAGGGAGGTGATTTACATATTTAAGCAGGGTTTTGGCATTTGTGCCCAGCCTTATGGTTCATTTCTTCATTCACTCAAACACATAAACAGTGAACAAATGCTTGGTAAACAGGAACCTAAAGTTCCAGCGATGAAAAACTTTAACTTGCCCACGGAGCTGCTTGCAGCATTGGCTTGGGAGTGTTTTGCAGATGTGGATTTGCCTCCTCCCCACTCTCATCCCTGGGGTAGCTCCAGCCATCACCCCTCCCTTGCATCACCCCACTGCTGAGCCCCCAGCACACTGCCGAGGGTTTGAATGAGCAAAGAAAGCACGCGGTGAGGTGGAGCCTTCGGAATGGCATTCGTTGGCACTGGTGAGGGCCAAGCTCGGAACCACACCTGCTGCCGGGGCTCAATTTGGTCTGTGAATAACTGGAGAGCTTTACATCACCAGGGCTGTTGGTCCACGTATTTGCAAGCACTTTATTTGGTGGTTTCTTTTTAGTGTGGTTGTTGGACAGGGAGGACAGGATAGAGAGAGGAACCTTTCATGCTTCAGCCTACTGCAGCATCCGGCGTTTTCATGAAACCACAAAGGGCGTTAAAGAAAAAAGAATAAGCACTCTGTTTATAGGGATTTAGACCATCAAAACAGAGAGGGGGCTGTGTTGTTCAGTGATCGCTTGGAGTCAAGGAGCCCAAAGACATAGGTTCACAAGAGATGGGCTTCCAGGCTGGAGCCCTCCCCACCTTCCCACCCTCTCTGGACCACAGTTTGCTGCCCCTCGCTTGTGCTGCTACAAGGGTTGGCAGAACCAGTTGGCACTCTGCATCCAGTGTGCTGCCCAGCACTGCTCTGCATATTAAAAAGTCTCTCAGGAAAATGATTCCAGCCTTCTGCAGCTGCCTGGGAATTTGTCTTGTGCAGGGCTTTTCCAGTCAGAGCCCCTTGCAGGACACATTGAACGCAAAGGAGAAGCATGCAGCACCCCGAATGAGAACTGCATGGGGAAGGGGATCAGCCATCTGTAGTCCACACACCATCATCTGCTGCTGCACCAGTTGACAGCAAATGTTCCTTTCCACCACCTGTGTTCAGTGCAGGCTTTGATGCAAGCAGGATAGTGGGAGGGAGCACAGAAACAGGTCTGATGGCAACAGCAGAAAGGCGGCTGCTCCCAAAGGTAGTCCCGATGATTTTTTTTTTTTTTTGGAGCGTTGCACCAGAACAATGGCAGTAGGAGGGAAAGGGTGATGACAGCCTGACTCTTAATCACTCTTGCTCATCTCTCCTCAGTGTCCAAGCTGACTGAAATGCAAAATGAAAGCAATTGTGTAGCATAAATCAGATGCTGGCATTCCTTTTCATGGTCTAAAACCAGTGTCCCCAACCACAGCTCCTGCCTCTGTGCTGAGGGGACAGCAGGGTGTGAAGCTGCCCCAGCTAACCACTTGCCCACCGCACCTCATCCCTCAGGGGAACAAGCTGAAAACCGAGCAGCAGCCTGTAAACATCCTGAGCCACCCGGTGCTCAGTGTTTGTGGAGGAAGGCATTTTGGAGGGACGCAATGGCTGAAGGTCTATCCACCTGGTGCTGGGCTATGGTGATGGCTGCTGCTCCCACACCGTGCCTGCTGGTGTGATTTCCAGAAAGACAGGGTAACACAGCAGGATGCCTGCACAGAGGATCAAATGACCCCGATGCACCCATGCTCTGCCTCTAGCTCAGCTCATTGAAGCTATTCCATCTGATGAGAAGCTGATCTGTTTTCCTAGATAAAGCTGCTCCTGGACACTGCCAAAATTACTGGTCTCCTTGCTCCTGGAGTGCTGTATCTTTCAAGAGGAAGAACTGGAAGAGGCCGAATAAAAAAGTTCTCGCTTGTATTTTTTAGTCACCCAGTGGCCACTGAACACCTCATTTAGGTGTATTATTAGCAACCTAGACATTCCACACATAAACAGCAAGACTATATGTGCATGCTGCCTCCAGATGTGCTGCATGGGCTCTGTGCATCCCAAGAGTGGCTCTCCCAAGCTCACCATTGCTGATAGGCAGGAACGGCCAGGAGGGTGCCAGGCAAGAGGCCTCCTTTACTTTGCAGGGAGGGCAAGCACCTGCTTCTGGACTTTCCCATGGCTCAGCCCCCTTCCTGGGTTCAGGACCCCCCCTGACTTAAAAGGTATGGTGACATGCAGTGCTCTGTCTGAACTGAACTGTGTCCACATCATCTCCTATTAACCTATGAGGAAAGTATTTGGCTAAGAATGTTTTAGAAGCTTTTGGAAGGGTGAAGACTGCATCAAGTGCTGATGTTTTATTATCCAACTTTCCTCAACAGGCTCTGCATTCATGGAGCGCCAGTAAAATTTTGAAATCATATTTTGGGTATGGAAGAGACCTTGTAAATTCTACTACTTATGGAATCCATGAAAATTATTTTCTCTTTGGGTTTACGTAAAAACATTTCCAGAGACAAGAATTTGGGGGTTTCCTAGGGGAAAACAGTCTAAATAATCTCAACTGTTCCCATCAACCTGGTGGAAAAAACCACATATTTTACAGCAATTTTTTTTTTTTTTTAAAAAAAAGGCTTGATTAGGGGTCTCCACGTTGTTTAAGTGACTTAAAGCTCAAGATGCAAGCTGATTAAACATGTTTTTGCTGTGCCACACTGCCCGTGCCGATGCTTACTAGTCTCGTCTATAGATTTTGTGGCCCACATGTAGAGACAGGTATTCTTGCCAGGTGATTTTAGCCAATTACTTGTGAATTGCCTTCAGCATTGGTTTTGAGGCAAGTTTTAATTTGCTCCTAGAGGTTTCCGTGCCTCTTAGGGGTAGTCACGCTGGCCCCCAGTGCTGCTGTGGAGCTAACAGCATGCGTGTGCAAGTGACTTTTCAATGTGTACCCTACACAGCTGTATCGTCCAAGTGTGTGACCTGGAAATGCAGCATCCTTACTTGAGATTCCCTTTCAGTTAAATTCCTGCAGCACATGGCAGATGTTCCTGTCCACCAGCAATATGTTCCTTTGGCACCTGCCAAAGGAATGCCTACAGGGCTGTGGGATTGACCATGGGGTGGACAGATGGTCAGTGCAATCTCCTGGGTTAACAGCACCCAGGAGGGGTAACTCCAACTTCAGTAGCACCATCCCAGGTTTACATGCTGGTCAGTCCCATCAAGCTAGCCAGTGCTTCCCATGTCCTTGTCCAGTATGCAGTGAGCTTTGTGTGGATTTTGTGGCTGACCATTTTAGAGGTCCTGTCGGTCTGAAAGCCCAGTTCAGAATGTAGATTATTTTTCCAGACCTTCCAGTCTATATTTTGATAGCAAAGTTTCTGTGGATCACATCTTTAATGTTATCTTGAAATATATTCTGTTGTCATGTAAGTGTGTTATCACTCAGAGACAATGCAAAGTGCTTTAGACACGAGGCAGAGAGCCAAAACCTGTCTTTGGATGCATATTTGCAGTTCATCTTGACTCCCTGGTATCTGAAGGTCAAGTCAGATGCAGAGTCAACTGCAAAGCTGAAACGTTAAGTGTGCCCAAGAAATTTTAGGAGGGCAGAAGCAGTTATCAGCAGTTTTCAGCTGCTTTGCTGTGTGAGGTAAAATGTGTGTAAGAGGAGGCAAAAGGAACATACTAAATGCATCTTGTAGGATTGTTTCCTCCCTGGGTTTCTAGCTGCTTATGTGTAAGGTATTTTGTTATCTTATCTTATAAGTCACTCAGAGCTCTTCAATAGCCTTTTTTGCTAACACCAAGCCATACTGTGTCTTTGACTGAGTGCATGTTTTCTGCTGCTTCTACTGCCTTTGTCCATTGGGTCCGTCTGTGAGCTGGCACTTCTGTGCAATGGCAGGGGTGCTTGCAAGAGGCATTCAGCTGGGTCTACCTCCTCTCCCCCAATTCCAGGAAGACATCTCCAAGTGTAGTTCTGTGTGCAGACATCAGTGAGTCAGCAGCACTAAATACTGTCTGCTAAACATGGATGCTGTGCTTGGCCAGCACCTTATGAAACACAATTCTGTGTGTGGAGATTACAAACTAGAGAGCTACGCCAAGCTTTTGGGCATGCTACCAAGGATAGGCAGAGGACTGGGCTGTCAGAAATCATTCAAGCTTTTTGGGGCTGGGATGTGCAGTAACGTGACAGTGTGTTCCAGCACTGCGTTTCCTGCATACAGAAAGACAAGGGCATTCCCAGGTGTTTACTGTGTGAAACAACCAAGCACACCTGACCAAGCATCAGGCTTCACAAGAAAGCAGATTTTCCCCACCCTGTTTCTATCCAAGATCTTCCACTGTGAACCCCTTTGCAAACCTGTTCCTGCTATTAAGAGCACTGAATTTACCCAACCCTCTGTACCTAGGCTCCTGTAAAACCTCCCACAAACTGAAAATAAGTCTGGTATTTGCCTCCCTGTTGTTGTGCCTTTATAATCTCTAACCTGCAGGTGTGGAAGGGCTCTGCAGTCCTCATGGTCAGGTCAGAGCAGGCTGTCAGGCAGGAGGGGCAGGAGGTGAGCATGCATAGGAGCTCAGCATCTCTCCAGGTATTGCTCTTCCTGCTCCATCAGGGTCACCAGCTCTAACAGGACACAGGTACCCTTTCCCTCTAAAACAAAAAAGGAAGATTCACGCATTTGCCTTTGGATCCCACTCTCCAAAATGCTGTTCTGCCTTAGACCCTTCTGCAACAGCCTGAGCTCAGTGCAGCCTGCAGCACCAGGGTGGAAAGGTGCAGCCTGAAGCAAGAGCACCATGCCCTGCCAAAGAGTGGAGATTGGTTTGGTTTTAGACTGAAATTTGGAGTTAACTGTTGTGCCCTGGAATAGGGCAGACCTGCAGGCCAGTCCCGGGGAAAGCTTCCGTGGGATTTCAACAGCAACAGGGCCAACAGCACTCAGAAGAAATTCGTAGAAAGCCTACACATTTAATAAGAATGAGATCCTTTTTTCATATGATTTTTGGGCTAGGAACCGTTTTCTATTAAATTTGATGGAGTGATGTAAAATCCCTGAAGGAGAGGTTATTCTCTGTTGAACTTCAGAAGGCTTCTCCGTGAGGACAGAGGCTGAAGTTGTTCCAGGAGTATCACAGGGCTACCAAGCGGCTGGGGCTGCCCATGATGTGAGCCCCAGCAATCTGCCTCTGCCTGGTGCTGTCACGAGGAAGCACCCCCTGCTTCTGTCCCCACTCATGGCTGGGCTGGCTCCCGCCACCCCATTACATGCTGGCTGGGGAGGGCTTTTCTCACTGTGAAAATACTTCCCCACCAGGCGCTGGCCTGGGGCCACCGGTTTGTTCCACACCATCCCTGAAGCTGCCTCCAAATGGCAATGACTCCTCTGAAGTCTCTGCTAAATGAATTTGCTCTTTACAGGCAACTGGTTCTCTTTGGATGCCAGAGTATTGCCTTGTGGTTGCTAATAACCTGGGCCAGACTGAGCTGGTGATTTATAGGGCTTTGCATCTGCCTCCTTAAGTGCCTGCCTTGCTGCTTTGCTTCTCTCCCTGATCTCTCTTCCGATCCCCTTGCTGCACACATTCTGGGTATTTCCAGCTACCTCTGAACAAGGTATTAATGTAGATAAATATTACTGCAAGGAAATAATGGCCAAATACTCTCTGCATCATCTATATGCATTGGTTGGGGAGCGATTTTTCATTTCATACATCATTTGCTATTTCAGCATGTGGCAATTCTGCAAAATAAGGAGGGAGAATTAGAGAGTTGAAGGGCCCACCCCTTGTTCCTGCGGTTCCCTGCACTCGTGGGCACAGGCACAGGGTGATTGCTGTGCAGTTACTGGCCTGAGACACATTTGGATGAGCTCATGTGAATCTCATCCTGACCCTGTATTAGCTGCTCTGCACACCATTTTTCTTCCCATCTTTCTGCCACTCTGTCTTCTTTGCTTGGCTTTAACACTCCCATGTAGGCTTAATGTCCTCTCACCCATTCCCAGGCCTCCACATTGCTGTATTCTGCATTTTTCACTGTAATAGGTCCCTGCATACAACACACAACTTGAAGCCCTTTCCCTTAGCTCCAATAAGAGCCCATACCCCAGTGAAGTAATCTTTCCCACCTGAGCTGCTCCTGCAGTTTCGTATTGCTTAATCCCCCCCTGTGAGCAGAGAACAAGTTTAAGGTAACGTATGCTCAGCTTTATGTTGGTTGTGTTCATACTGTGAGTCCCACAGCTCCCATTGTCAAGCAAGTGAGAGGAATGACTTTGCCAGAGCCCCACATTTTCTGGGAGATAACTGACTGCTGACTCACCCTGCTATTAGAGGCCCCATTAAAATTAAGGATGTAGGTTCCATACATTTATTATTCCAGACCACTGTGCTTATTCTGTCTGCCCATTTTCCCTTCACATTTCTTCGTGGATTCATTTCCCCACTGCTCCCTCCCTGTCACTGGTGGCACCAGGCTGTGAGGCAGGAGCTGAGCTGCCATCCCCTTGGCAAGGTTCTGATTGTCCTGCACCTCACTGTGGTCCTGCAGACAGCGTTGGCGTGTCAGCTGTGCTGCTGAGCCTGGTCTGAAGGCTTCTGCTGGAAGGAGCTTCCAAATTCACTTTGTGGTGACTGCTCCTCAAAGGTGAGGTGCATCTGCACACAGCGCCCTACCAGCAATGCCCACGCTCCCTGCAAAAGCTCTGGTCAGCAGCAATCCCCTGCAAAGCATTTCAGGTGCCTGCTGATCCCTGGGACATTATCTGAAGGTCATCTCCTCTGTCATACTGCAAATGTGGGGGGAACCGAGGGGTGTCTTCCTGAAGATCTCTCCTCCTCATGGTCTCACATGCGATGCAGAGCTCATTCATCTCCGCAGTGTGTTGCTGCACTCCTTGAAGTGAGCCATCATTTCATTTTCAGTGACTTCCTAATGTGTTTGTTCCCTTTTTTTTTTAATTTCCCAAGCAACAGCACAGGCATTGCTGCATTTGGCAAAAGAACAAAGCCTTATTGTTCAAAGCCTGAGTGCTCCAGCATCAGCTGGGACAAACACACTATTTCACTCCTAGACCTCAATCTCAAAAGCCAGCTGGACAAAGAGTGAAAAGGCTCAAAATCACAAGTTAGAAAAAGCCTTTACCTTTATCTTGTCTCTAAAGGGCTCTGTCAAGTACAGTTTTATATCTGTGCTTTCTTTCTGTCACTAATACCTCTTCAGAAACCTGAAAATAGCATCTCTTTCTCTATTGATTTGTCCCCCGGAGAAGCACTGATTTCTCCCCCTGTGATCAACATGGCTCATTGTGTCGATTTGCTTATGCAATTCCATTATCAATGAATGTCACCATGGCTCTGGTCACACAGTTCCTACCCATGTCTTTGCAACTGTGTGACAGCAACAGTGCTCCCCAGGAGTCTCCTCTGCAGGGTGAACCCCTCTAGGCAGGTGCTGGGGTGATGCCTCAGCTCTCACACAGCTCTGCCCTAGCATGGACCCCAGCATCCAGGACAAGGCTCAGGAAGCCTTGGGTTGAAACTGCTTTGCAGCCATCTGAAACATCAATGCTAGTTTAAAATATCTTACGCTAATACAGTGTCTGATTTTTCTGTTGTAGTTATGCCTGGAAAAAAAGGCACCTTTTCTGACATGCTTATCTTCACTTCAGAAGTGTGGGCCTGCTGTTACTTTGCCACAGAATACCTACATAATCCTTTCCCTATAAACCAGTCTTCTCAGCTTGCAGTTTTTTTTGCTGGTTCTCCCTGCTCCTCCTCCAGCCTGGTGACTGCTCAGGAGGCATCCAAAAGGAAAGATCGCACAACAGCAATCAGACAGTTGCTTATCTCTCTGCCCTGGGATACGTCATGCAGCCCAAAACCATCCTGAGACCTTTTCTGTTGACGTGACACATTGTAAATTCCTCTCCAATTTCCTGTATGCTAACCCTGCAAAGTCTTTCACTGCATTTGGGTCTCCTCCTCCCATAGGGTGTCTTAATTTTGGACTATTTCCTCCCTAGACATATTAGTCTGTGTGTCCTTTGAGCTAGGTCATTTTCTCCCCATGTCCCATATCTTTTTTTGTCCTTTTGTGTTATATTCCACTCCTGGCTGGTGATTGCATCTCCTCCCCAATGTAGTATCAATTGCAGTTTTAATAAACAGCCTGTCTAATGCTTTTTCTAGATCATTAATGAAGATGGTAAATAAAACTGGAGCTAACACCAGTTTCTAGTAATAACCCTACTGGATGCCTCCCCGCAAGCTGACAGTTTTGTCGTTGATCACTATTCATCACCGAGCCTGAGCGTCTGTGTCGCTGGGTGAGGTAATTTATATTCATTTAAAACCATTCATCACAGAATCAGAGAAAACCACAGCTAGAAAGGACCTCAAGAGGCTGCTTTCAGAAATGTTCCTGAAGTTTCCAGTCTACTCTTTAATGGGATAGAGGTTTCACATCCTTGCCAGGCAGATGGGTTCAGCGCTTGTTAGACTTCCCCTTTGCCAACCATCTATCTTTAACGTCTCTTCCCGCAATTCAGGCCCATTGTTTCTTGACACACTTGGATATAAAGAACTATCTGGAAAACTGCTTATTCCTTCCTTCTCTGGAAACATTTTTCATATACTTGAAAATCATGGTGTCTCCCTTACTCTCCTTCTTGCTGGAGTAAGCAACCCCCATTGAATAAGCATTTCTTTGCAAGCCCTCTTTTCTAGACCTTTCATCCCACTTCCTTTTAGACTCTCCTGAGCTGAATAAAGATCATAGCAGCACTGGGTAATGCAGAAGGATCAGCCATGTATTTTACAGGGTATGGTGACTGTGCTGTGTGTGACAGAATGGCACTTTTTATTCATGTCAGGTTCCTGAGTTGCTGCACTGTTCCACATCTGCCTAATCGTCTGTCTCTCATTTTGTCCCTGTGCAGCTGATTATACCCACCTCTGTGCACAACTTTGCTTCTCTCCTTATTGAATTACATCCTGGATTTCAGACCTTTTCTCTAACATGTCAGGGTGATTTTTGATTCTAATCCTCTTCTCTCATGTCCTTATGGCTCATCTCAGCTCAGTGTCCTCTGCACATCTGATAAGGATGCTCGCTATTTGATCATCCAGTGGCTGGACCTCTGTTGAACCCTGCCCAGCCCTTCCTTGTATTTTCACAAAGACACCTTCTTTCTGAGGACGGTCTTTCAACTGGCTTTGCACCCCTTTTTTAAGGTAATTCTTCTAGGGCTCGTGTCCTCAGTTTGTAACATGAAGTGAGACGGTACCAAAGACCTTTCCCAAGTCAAGACACAAGACGTCTCCTGCTTTGTTTCTATCCACAAGCACTGTCGCAGGATGAAATTAGGTCAATTTGACACGATTTGCCCCCGGCAAATCAGCACTGGCTGTTCCTTTGCTCTTGGTTGTTTCCTAGGTGCCGATGATTAGTTTGTTTAATTATTTGTTCCAGTGCATTTCCAGGAACTGAAATTGAGCTGAGTGGCCATAGCTGCCTCCCTCCTCTTGTTTCCTCTTTACACAGCCAGGCAGGGTGCCACTCTGCCAGGAACCATGGTCCCCCATGCTGCTCCTGAGAGTTCCCAGAGGGTCCCAGCCTGGGCCAGCCCCTGCACAGGGCACCACTGTGGTGCTGATGCTTTCCTCAGCCTTCCTCTGACACCGGTCTGTAGCCAGAATCCCTCCCTGCTCCCCTTCCTCCCCTGTGCTAGTTACGTTTCCTTTACGTGTTATTTCTTGATAGCACCCATCATAATATGTGGCGACCTTTGATGCCAACCCTTAGCCATTTGCATGTATCTCAATTTTCTGTTTGTTTTCTCCTTCCCTGAGGCCCTTGGAGACTGACTGAGCCAGCTGATCTTTCCTTGTGTTTCTTAACCTTCGTTTTTGCATTGGCATGACTTATGTTTGTGCTGTTGCAATTGTTCCTGCAGACAATGCCGACACCCCTGAATGTCTTTGTCCTTGGACTTGTGTCCCTGAGTGTTTGCATACCAGCCCTCTGGGTTCTCTGCGAATAGCTGTGGGGCTCAGGAAAGCCTCTCGGTGGGGAAATGCTGAAAATCAGCCTTTCAATGAAACTGTGGACTTCACCCACTTCCAACTGGACTTTCCCATCCTGCACAAGACTTCTTGGTTTCGGCAATCTCTTCGTCTCTTCACAAAAGTAAGCACACTGAGCCAAATTCTGACCTCATTTACACCAGTAAAATCTAGATTGCTGCCAGGAAACTGCTGAAGTTGTTTTGGGCTTACAGTGATGAGAATGAGAGCGGCATCTGCCTCATTAATTCCCCCAGTCCACAGAAAGTAAATGATTCCAAGAGGAAATAGCTCCACAGAAGGGAGCCCTGGAAAGAATTAGAGACTGACTTAATGGGATTAAGAGGAAAAAAATGCTTTAGTGAATCTAAATCAATCCTCTCTTCAAAACATTCAAGGTGCCAAAATAAATACAAACACTCTTTTGGGAAGGAAGAGGTTAAAAAGCTATGAAAACAAAATATCTTGGCTTCTTCTAATGATGAGAATGAGCACAAACAGGCAAGTGTTGCTGAGTTAGCAGTACCATACCTGCCACTTGGTGTTTATCCATGGGTCTCCAAGGATGGAAACTCAAGTTTCCCACTTTATCCATGGGTGTCATTCTGCATTCTCATGTTTGATAAAAGACCCATGGAAACCAGAGAACATTACAAATAGGGGTGGGTGAACAGGTCTGGCAAATGGAAACCTTTCTCTCAGATGCCTGACCAACCTGCTGTCCAGCCCCTAAAACCATTCCTGCAGCCATTGCTTTGGCTTTTTGTTCTGCAGTTAATTACTGTCTTTGCATGTTTCTTCACCCACTCCACACTGTGCGTGGCTCTAGGGTCAGATGTGCCCAAACCAAATAAACATGTGAAAAAAGCCTGCTCCTGAGGTGTTGCTGGATGTATTGGGAGCTGCATGCAGACAGCCTGCTTTTGTGCAATAAAGTGGAAAAGGATAGTATTTTGAGCAACTGGTAAGAGCCATCACCTTTCAGGCAGGCAGGTGGACCCTTGTGCTGTCAGGGAGGAGAGCAGGAAGGAGCACAAGGCCCACACTGAGCCTATTAGTAATAGCTGGAGACAAGCAGGAGCTGTGACCCATACAGTCAAACTACTTTCTTCCACTTTCCAGCGGTGAGGTGGCTGGCCCCATTCATCCAGCCACCCTGCCCCACCCTCCAGAAAAGCTGGGGCAAAATAATTAGAGGATGGCCAGGCCTTTGAGTGGCGTGGACATTCCTTGTTTTTTACATACAAGAGCACCCCACTGCCGAGGGCCGTCAAGTACTGAGGACATTGTCTCATCTACTCTGATTGTCTGAGGACTTTTGACACAGAACTTTTGCTTTATGCAAAGACGACCGCGCTCCCCCGTAAGCTTGGCTAAATGAAAGCATTCAGAGGGGAACTGCGAGAATATACAAGAGCCACAAAGCATTCCCTGGGATGGGACGCTACAGGGGACTGATCTGTTTCACGTAATTTAGAAATCATAAGGCAGCTTGATAACAGCATAGAAGTGCTGCAATAAGAAAGAGATTTCTGACTGGGGACTTCCATTTACAAAAAAACCCCACCATTGTGCAATCCAGTGACTGGAAGCAGAGGCAAGCCAAATGCACAAGAGCAAAAAGGGTGCACTGGTTATATGAGGGTAACTAACCAAAGAAAAGGCTTTTCTAACATCCTGGTGGACTCTCCAGACTGCAGTCTTTAAGCTGAGTCTAGGTGACTTTCTAGCAGATGTGTGGCAGCTCAAAAAGAAGTTATGGGCCAGCATCAGAAATGACTGGGGGAGGTACCCTGGGTCACTTATGTAATAGGTTACACTTGATGATCATAATGGTCTCTTCTGACCTAAAACAATGAATCCCTGACATTCAGCTGTGCTCAAGTGTGGCACTTCATTGTACAGCAGTTTTGGATCAAAAATAACTGTTATCAGTGAATTAAACAGGAAAATTAACAACGTGGTTGCTCCAGTACCCCTTGTGCTACTTAATTTGATATGTCTTTATTTTAGTTGTCCTTAAATTTTCAGTGTGCTGCAGAACTGTGTATTGCATATGCAGAAGCACATTATAGGGGTAATTAGAAGGCAGCTGGAGGGTTTTGGCAGCTGGGCAGGGGACAACAAGCACTCTTGGCTCTTTGAGAGGCAGTGTGGATTTGTGGGAGAGGGACATTAGCTGAATGCTAAGATTGTCAGCAGGGAGAGTCAAAGGGCTTACAATAGTATTTGCATCATCTTGAAGTTAACCACTTCCAGAAGAGAACAACAGTGTGTGGCAAAACAGGCACTATTGTTCAGCCTGCAGATTGGTAATCTCTTGAATCTTGCAGCAAAGGGTTTGTTTTTTTTTCAGTGCAGCTTGACTGGTTTAAACCCAAAGTATAGCTCCTATTTGTACTGATGTTTACAGGGATTTAAGGCCAAATGCTAGAGGAAAGCTCTGCTGTCACAAGACACAGCTCTTGGTGGTGTGTGTGCTGTAGGAATTCACACTGGTCCAGAACCAAGGTCCACATCCACAGAAGTGCATGGCTGAGACAGGCTTTGCTTCACTTGCTTCACTTTGCCACAGTGAGCCTGGCTTGGGGTGTTTGCTCTCCTCTGCAAACTGTAGAAACTGCTGCTCTTTCCCCTGGTTGCCCATGAAGGCTTAAACCTTGCAGCCAGAGTAGGATAGTCCATGTAGGAACCTGGCTTTAGCAGGGAAAGAAGTGGAGCTGGGGCTGGGTAGGCAGGATCTGGACACATAAGGTGCATCTCACTGTCATTTTAATCTGGATTAAAGAAATAGATCTCCTGGTCCTGCCACATAATTGCGGTTTCCACACCATGGAAGAGGCCTGGGACATGGGAGAGAAGATGCAGGTGTGCACCTCAGCTGCTCCAGCTATGACTCTTTAGGATGCAGCTCCAGGCTGGAACCAATCACAAGTAAAACCGACAGCAGACCAGCACTGCTCTTATGCTGCTCTACTTGCTAAGACAGACACAGCTTTTACTGTCTGTGACTGTGGCAGTCAAAACACTCTAATGTCTCTTGTTTTCCAAGATCAGATGTAAATTAATTTATATTTCAGAAGGACCTATCAAAGGAACTGTCTTGGTCATGATGTGATTATCAAGAGCACCAGAGTGCTCTTTAGTCTGTCCTGTGACTTACTGAGGTTGTGAGGTTACCTTTCTGCTGAGAACTAAGCCATTTCCGATCTCTCAAGTTTTCCTGCTTAATATCCCTCTTCTGAGTCACGGCTGTGCTAATTTCTCATTAATGTCTGAGGATTAATGTAAGGGAAATACAAAGCAGTGAGGTTACACAACAATCCTGGGCTTGGTTGTCAGAAGCCACCATAACCCTCCACTCTCATTTGTCAGCATTGCCACAAATGTGATTTCCAAGGTAGGCCATGAACTTCCAGGAGATCTGGAACCTCGGCAGTAGTCAAAAAGATCTTCAGTTCCTATGTATTGTGCTGCAGATCCTCTTATTACCTTATTTAGATCAGTTTTGTTGAACTATATGTTGGTTCTTCCTCGGTTTGGATTATCTTTTCCAGCTTCCCTTGCCTCTTTCTTGTAAGTGGAACTCCCAGAGGGTTTCCAACCAGGAGGGCCAGTGTCTTACTGGCATTGTTCTCATCTCCTCTGTTGGTGTGTCTTTGGTGGCAACCATGCTGCAGGTCACTTTCAGTGTCACATGGTGGGATGGGTGGTCCAGCCTGGGTGAGCATGCTGATCCCTTAGGGGAGTACCGATGCTCTCTGACACTGGAGTTACTTTCCTTACAGGTACGCATTCAGGGATATCCTAGCTACGCAGTGCTATTTAAGATTCTAAAGCACTTTTCACATTATTGGGACCATTAGCTCCACCATCTCCAAGATAATCATACATTTCCTTCCCCAGACTTAACATTTCCCTTTGGTTTTTATGGATAAACTGAGTTTCTGAGTATTGTTAGAGACTGACCCTGCCAATCTGTGCCCATGATGAGCAAATTGAATCCTATCTTATGTGTAATTTCTCAATCAGAGAACAAAGTGCTTTGGCAATCTGGATCAAAGGCACTAGGTAAGGTCATGATTATTATTGTTGTTATAGTGAAATGAGCTCCTGGAAAAATCATGTTTACTTCTCCTTTGTAGGTTGCCTGCACCGTGGAGCCTTTGATGTCTAATGGCCTGGCATCGTATCTTGTGCAGGTACAGCCTATAAACAGAAATTTATAATGAATAATTAAGTTATTATTTATTATTTTTAGGACCTCAGAACACAATCCTATATACATGATGCAATGCATATACAGAGCCAAAAGCTGTTAGAAAGAGACTAATGGGTAGGGCCTGTTGTTTGATCCATACTCCATCCATCTCCATTTTCGATGGATATTCAGTCAACAGGATGAGACGTTAGTTCTGAAAGTGCATCTTCAAATGTTATGTTGCTGGTAAATCAAAGTGAACAAAAAGGATGTTCTGGGTGAACTCCACCAAAGGTCTAGGAATGATGGGGGAAGAGGAGTAAAGGCTGCTTGAAATCTAGCTAGCTCTTGACATTATTCTTCCAGGCCAGAGGAAATCTCGTGTGTGCTGTGAAATCCCTGAATCCTCCTCGTCTGTAAAAGACTTGGGAGAAAAAAATTCATTCCTCTGTGCAAGGTCCCCACAATGGTGCTTCTGCCCCACAGTGCTGAGCAACCACTGCTGGTTTGAGGGCCATGGTGATCCACCTCCAAAAGCCACCCTGTAGCTGGCTGGCTGTGGCTCTTAGAGGGGCAGAGCCAAAACCCTCTGAAACCTGCTTCACCTCCCTGGTTAGCCAAGCTTTCTGCCTTGTGACTGCTGCAGTGTGCCATGGCCCTGCATTTCTCAGTGTTGTTTCCCCAAACTTCAGTGCTCCCCAAACTGCTCCGACAAGGATGAGCATGTTCCCATGGCAACCGAAATACAGAAGCTGGGCAGGGTTTGTTCTGCTGATTGTCCCCAGCCTGTGTCTATGGGAGCAGCTATGGCACCAGCACAGGTAGTGGCTTGGGGGAGGGTCTCTTCTGGGGTTGAGTTTCTTAGCAGGAAGCAGAATGCCCTGTCCTAATGAGACATCTTCCATTAACTCTGTCTTCTCCAGGCTGTAAAATGGATAGGAGGATGGGAGAATACTTCTGCCTCTGCCCCTGTACATAGGTCAGGGTGGCACAGGTGCTGCATGTACGATGCAGAGGCTAAAGCCAGTCTCATGCTTGACAGCAATGCTGGGCACCAGCAGAAAGCACAAGATGAAGGAGAAAGCCAGGTCCAGCATGGGGTGCCATGTGCCCATGTGGGGCAAGCTCCTTAGCCTGGGGTGCCATGTGCCCATGTGGGGCAAGCTCCTTAGCCTGGGGTGCCATGTGCCCATGTGGGGCAAGCTCCTTAGCCTGGGGTGCCATGTGCCCATGTGGGGCAAGCTCCTTAGCCTGGGGTGCTAGGGTATGTTGGAGCTCACATCTCATTTGTTCACTTGCAACATCAGAGGCCGTGAGAGTCCTCCAGTGCTCCCAGAAGCCTGTGAAGATCCCTGTCCTGGGTTCAGCAGTAGCAGTCATTTTTCCCCTTCTTGGTAGCTGGTGCAGTGCAGGAGGTTGATATGGTAGCAGGGTTTGCCAGGAGGTTGATATGCCCCCAAGGGACTAAAATTCAGGTTTGGGGTATGGCTGGATCAGCCCTGGCCTTCCCTGCTACAGGACCACTGCGTGGATGCCCCTCAGGAGAGGGGAAGTTAGCAAGGAAACTTCTGAAGGTGCTAATTAAACAACTTTACATTATAAACATCTTTAATTGGACTCATTTTTGGTGTCACATACTATCTCTTGATGAGACGCGTCCTAAAATTAAAGCTGTTTTAATCTCTCTCTCTGCTCCTCCTTTCTACCCTGTTTGTCTTTCTGGTTACAAAGTAGAAAAGAAATCACTGAGGCTTCCTGGGCTTTGCCGATCACTGCTATTTTTAAGGTGTTATATTTGATTTACTTTAAATCTGACCAAAAAACTCCACCCTGGGACCAGACCTCCTTTGTCAATGTTGAAGTTAAGTTTCTGCTTTTACATGTAGATTTTTAAGGAGAGAGGACAGAAATTGGGTTTGTAAGAGATGCTGGCTCACCACCTTAACAGTGATAGCACCATCCTTTAATGCAACCTTTGCCCAGGGATATTGCAGCATATCACTGTCTCCTTGTGATAAATGCCACATCATCATCTCTTTTTCTTTTTTCTATATTAAATGTTTCTGAAATGACAGAAATAGTTTTGTATTGAATTACGACATTCAAACACCATCAGGTTTTCCTGTGTGCTCTTTTGTCACTGTCATGGGCCAACCAAAGCTCTCCAGGCTTTCGGGGAGTGGGGACTGCAGTCCAGGCTGTGCAGGTCTTGCCCTGTTCTGCCCTGGGAACAGCTAAAGACATCAGATTTCAGCCTTTCTCTCATGAGCCAATTCCTACTTCATGTGTGCCTGCCTTCATATCTATTGTGCGAGGCCAATTTTAAACCCAAGGCCTCAAAATTAATGATTCTGTGATGGCACAGCATTACAAGAGCCTTTCTTCAGGGGCTGAGAAGGGGAGGGACAAGAGATGGAAGCTGGAGATTTTGCTCCCAGTCGCACCTTTTTCTCCCTTGTCCTGTAAGTGCTCCTCAAATGGAACTGTGGCTGATGCAGCGCTATTCCGGCCAATGTGCATGTGTGCAATGTCTGTGTATCTGCTGAGGAGCCACTGGCCATGGATGCACAAGTTAAAGTGGGCTTGTGCTGGAAGGGTGCTTGAGTGTGCCCACCAGCAGCAGCAGCCGGTGCTGGCTGAGTGCTTCTTTCTCCTCTGGGCAGGCCCCTCTTCTTGCGAGAGGTGGAAGGAAGGGATGGAGCTGCCCTAGCCCTGCCCTGTGCTCAGGCTTCAGCCCCGCAGCACTGGTGGAGGCAGATGTCTGGCTGGGGTTTGCTCCTTTTACCTCCTCACTCCTGGGATCTACATGTTAAACGTGAGGGGATTTATACCCTGCCCTGCCAAGAGGAGCCAGCTACTTTTGGGAGAAGCCAGACAAGGTCCTGGCAGCTTCCTCAGTTCAGCACTAAGGCTGGGTATTTCACAGCTTGCACAACCCTAATTGCTTTGGGATTTTTGCTGAGGGGGATGATGCCAAGGGCTACACTGTAGAGGTTTTATTTCACTTCCAGGAGGCTGCTTGCCATTTCTATATTATCTCACATGGTCATGGAGCACTGAAGGTAATAGAAACCTTCAGTTTTCATTGATTATTCATGGTGCAGTTTGCTTTGCTAGGCATCCTTACAGGCCACAGAGCCTGCAGCCTCCCAACGCACATAAGGGGACACATTTCCTCACTATAGACAATTTGGCTCAAAAATTTCCTTGAGACATTACAGCTCTGCAGGTAATGAACACTTGGGTGGCTCTGATTCACTCCTCACCAACTCCTCATGCTACCTTTGGGCCCCTGGATGCCCCCAGTTCAGCTGCTGCTCCTGTGTGGGTTTCGTAGCCCCTTTTTGCCAGGATGCTGCTCCGAGATCCCTCCCATCCTTACATCCAGCCATAAACTCCATGTGCTAATCCTGATCTCTGCCCTGCAGGAAGCTGCCTTGGGACCCTGCCGACATGAGCTGGGACCTAGCAAGGCCTGCAAGGAGATGTTGAAACCCAGACAGCTCCATTTCACTTTAAATTTGGGGGACAATCCTGAAAAGCTCTTTATGGAGACTGTATTTTTACAGCAGCCTGTTTCCTCTCTCCCTCTTCTTTTTTTCTTTCTCCACCTCTTTGTCTCCTAAATAAAACAACCTACATTTCTGACCTGAATTACTTTATGTGTCCCCGAAGGCATGTGCAGCTCCTAGAACTGTAGGAGGGTTTTCTCCTTTGGTGCAGTTACATACCATTATTAGAGATGACAGTCAAAGCTGGATCCCCGCAGTCTGAATGCTATATTTGTATTTTGCCAGACAAACAATAACCCATGCATTTCTGTAGCACTGGCTATCAGGGAGAAGCTTCCTTTTACAAACAGGAAGGTATCAATCCCAGTGGGCAAAATACTCCCTCATTTCTGCAGGTGAGATTCAGGCAAGTTAAACAATTGCCAGCATCACTCAGCAAGGACCTTAATCTGCCTGCGTATGTATTTAACCAAAATTGTCAATAACTCCAATGCTGTTAGCAAAGGCAATCCGGCTCAATCAGCCCCCAGGCTCCCGGAGGGCATCCAAGGACCACATATCCTTGGAGCAGCAG